AAAACAAATTTCTTGGTAGAGGGGTCTAAATACAGCACAAACAACATTTTCCAAAAGACCAAATGAGTGAAAAAGTATATTTTAACAAAACGCATTTGACTAGCAGGTCGAACATGTTCTTAAATCCTGCTGACTGCCATTGGCGATTGCCAAATAAACGGATCACAAGATATATATATACTCTAAATATAAGCACAACAATGTTAAATCTGCAAATTTGCGGAAGCAAATTCTTATTCTTCCCTCGCCGGGATTCGAACTCATGCTATTGGGATATCGAGACAACACCACCTGCACTGTGACCAGCGCTCTCGACCATATACTAGAACACTCCCGCGATATTGCTTGACTGATTTAAAGTATAGTACCTACGACTTATTTTCTGGCTTAATATTTTTAGTATTCGTATTGTCATTAGATTAAGTCATGCTGATTATAAGGTGCACAGTTTTCTCTGCTTTCAAAATCTTTCTGTTTGAAACCCTCTTGGTTTTCTTACTCCAACTGGAAACTACTTGTAGATATATCTAGTATTGAATTTTGTAGTATCAATACCTGTATAATGACGAAGTTCAGTTCTGATTATGTTTTGTTCCAGACAATTCACAACTCCAACACTCCTTTATCTTTGCCAACATAAATACATTTAACAACATGTATCTCTGCATCTAACTTATTATTAACAGAAACATTAAATTTTCTTCGCTGCTCTTTTCCGATGTGCACAAAGTATGCAATTGCTGTACACTCTAAACCTCCAAATTGTACTTTTCGGTGGCATGAATGAATATGTTACGTTGTTCGGCTGTGCCTTTTTTATGTGCTGATTTGTTTTACTTATTCGTTTTTATTCTGTAGTTAGTCACCACTTCGGTGTTAACATGTATATCTATTATATAGTCATTTTTATAAATTTACTGTTTGCAAAAGTATGAATTATTCTAAATACTAAGTATTTTCTTATCCCAGGCATATAACCTTAGCCGTATTTGGCACAACTTTTTCGAACTTTTGATCCTCAATGCTCTTCAACTTTGTACTTGTTTTGGCTTTCGAACCATTTTTGATCTGAGCGTCACTGATGGGTCTTATGTAGACGAAACGCACGTCTGGCGTATTAAATTATAAGCCTGGTACCTTGTGATAGCTATTACTTGTGTGTGTCTCTGTCCTGTATGTTCTCCCATTTATTTGTATTGTAGTCCTGTCATGTAATCTTGTCATTTTAATGTTATTTTTAATATTGCCATAAAAGCAGGAGGTTTGGCTAGCCACAAAACCAGGTTCAACCCACCATTTTTTCTTAAAATGTCCTGTACCAAGTCAGGAAAATGGCCATTGTTATATTATAGTTCGTTTCTGTGTGTGTTGCATTTTAGTTTTGTGTTTCTGTTGTGTGTCGTTGTTCTCCTCTTATATTTGATGTGTTTTCCTCAGTTTTAGTTTGTAACCCGGATTTGTTTTTTTCTCAATCGATTTATGAATTTCGAATAGCGGTATACTACTTTTGCCTTTATTTACCCTCTCGACATATCATTCAGATAGACATTCCGGATCTTTTATAGAAAATACAAACAAGTCACACATTAACATTGGAGCTACATCAATCTATCAACATATAATAGGACCATCCTAGATTTACTACACTAAGTCTTGTAGTCATGCAGGAGTCAATTTTCTAGAACTGACATCAATACTTCGTCATGTTCCAGTCATAGATTTAACGAGAACCACTTTATGTTGAGCCATCACAAAAGCTAAAGAACCTTCAGAAAAAGAGCGGAATATATAGAACGATTGTGATATAGAGTAAAAGTTCTATAAAGACCGTGCCGTTCCAAAACAACTTAAACCATTTTAATTATGGCTATCAGGAAAACACTCAACTTCATATCGCTCTTATCTGACAAATGGTTCAGGAAACTGATGATGCATTCTCACTTAGTGTGCCTGCTGAAATTGAATCTGACATTAAGGAGCTCAAAAACATCAAAGTAGGTGATGCATTTAGAATTTGTGCTAGGCATCTTAAACATGCAAGTTCTTCTATTTTGGGTTAATATTACTCTCTGTTTTATTCAATGCAATAATTTGAAATTGACATATACCCTTACTTAAATTTCTTTCTGGAATCATAAATCCAGTCTACACAGATAAGTTGCCGCTGATCTTGAAAATCACAGTCATGTGATTTGTTCATGCACCATAGAAAAAGTAATTGAACATGTTAAACTTGTTATGATTAAACATCTTTTACCTTTAAATCAGTCATCACCATTATAATTTTTTTTAAAGAAAATACCTCTATATTATTTATTAAAAGCCCTTCTGATTCACTAATTTCCCGTAGAGGCAAAAGGAACTAATACATACGCTTTTCTTGACTCTCAAAAGGCTTATGATGTTGTCGATTATTTGTCCCTAAAATGTAAACTATTATTTAATGACATTTATAGCAAAACATGGAAAGTTATAGAATCTTGGTAATAATACAAACTTCTTGTTTCTCGTTTTTATATACACTGTAAAAACAAGTGTTTCAAAATAAAACACTTTTAAAACGCATATCAGACACAGTTTTAAAACACTTTAAAGCGTTTAGTTCTAAACATTTGTGTTTTATATAAAACGTTTTAAATGTTTTTTACAGTAATCACTAATGTTTTCCTTCAAAACACACATGTTTTGTCAATAACACAATGATGTGTTACCTGAAACACTGATGTTTTATCTAAAACACTTCAGCGTTTAATATAAAACACTTCAGCGTTTAGTATAAAACACTTCGGCGTTAAATATAAAACACTTCAAAGTTTAATATAAAACACTTCAGCGTTTAAAATAAAACACTTCAGCGATTAATATAAAACACTTCAGGGTTTAATATAAAACACTTCAGCGTTTAATATAAAACACTTTCAAGTGTTTATGAAGGAGACACACTTTATAAAACACTTTTAAGTGTTTATAAAGGGGATATGTTTTTGTTTATACACATGTCTGTTTTTATGTGTACACAGCAAGTGTTTTTGCATGACATGTTTTGAAATTGGGTGTTTAAAATGTTTTAGCTATTAAGCTATTAAGCACTGGTCTTGCTCTTTTGACTCTTCAAATGATGACTCGAGCTCTGTATCATTGGCTGTATATAGAATAAAGAATGGAAACAGGGAATGTGTCAAAGAGACAAAAAACCCGACCAAAATGTACAAAACAACAAAATGCCACCAATAGGTTTTCAACACAGCAAAAAAAGAAATAAATAAAAAAATACTGTTCGTAGTGCAACCTGTTTTTTACTTCCAAAACCAGGAAAATGTTATACCAAGAGTAATCTACTATATTAATAGAGAAAATTAAATAGGCATCATAAATACTGCAAAAATTAAAATTTATATGAAATTTTATTCATTGCAATTATTCTTTATAAATCACAAACATTTTCCAAGATTGCTACAGTATAATACATGAAACATCTAAAATGATATGAATTTACACACAATATTCTTAGTCGATCATCTATACAATGAAAACCATGTCCCTACAGCTACACATTCCAATCTTAAAATGCAATTTTCAATTGAAGGAAGTTTTTTAGAAATGATGTCCACAAAATATACTAGGCAAAAAAAAAAATCCTGAACAACGTTAAGTGCTGTAACAATTTTACCAAACTAAATGCAAATATTCCTGATGTTAGTAAGGTAAATTGATAAAGAAAATCCAGGAAATGCATTTTCATATATATCAATAAATTGCAGGAAAAGTTTTCATTTTGGCATGACCTTTAACAAAATCTTGAATGGTTTACAAAATATTAAAATATTGAGTATTTCAAATCCATGAGCATTTGATAGACCTTACTATATTTAAACGTTTTGTTTACATAAGATGAATTTTTTGAATTTTGTGACCATGATGACAGTATTTTTTAATTGAGTGTAAAAATTTTCAATATATCTATAACTACATAACTATTTTCATGCAACATTATAACTATGTGAAATTCATGTGCTATTAAGATATGTACAACACAATGTATCTACTTCTTACCAAATGATTGGATTCATAAAAGCTGCATCTCAATTAGACAAACAAAAACAAGAGGCTCATGAGAGCCTTATATCGCTCATCGGTAATTTCAGTTTCATGTATTTTGACTTATTTGTATATCTTACTTAGCTGAACATTTTTGCCATTTACACTTTCTCTCTATCTATTAAAATATTAAAGATAATAACCATAAACAGTAGAATTTAAAAATAATAAACTATTTCGGACAGTAACCCAACAATGGGTTGTCCAATGGGTCTAAAATTTTTAGAGCAGATAGATCTTGACCTATTCATTACTTTTAACTCCCTGTCACTTTTTCTCTTACTGTGTTTGTATTTTGAAATATAAGCCAAAAACTGTATTTGACCCCTATGCTCTATTTTTACCCATAGCCGCCATGTTTGTTGATGGATCAAAACTTCGGATATAATTTATAAACCAGATACCCTAAGGAACATTCAGTTAAAGTTTGGAAGTATTTGGGCCAGTAGTTTCAGAGGAGAAGATCTTGAAATAGTTTACGACGACGACAGACACCAGGTGATTGCATAAGCTCACATGGCCCTTTGGGCCAGGTGAGCTAAAAAAGAATTCCACAAAAAAGTCTAATAATAACCAGTTCTTCAACTTTTTGCCTGACTTATATATATTAATAAATCAAAATCCTCAAATACAAAAATAAGCTGAAAGCATTAAAGTGAAAGCTCTTATCATTAGAATATCAGAGTGATAAATCTGCAAAATTAAACGGAAATTAAAGTACTACATGTATAGACAGACCCGATACTCGCCAATACTCAATTCTAACCACCTTTTTTCTTACAAAAGACAAGTAAATTGGTCTTGGAAGAACAATGTTTATATTCCTCGCATCTCTATCTCTAAAACACTATAAAATATTAAACCTAAACTGTTTAATAATTAAAAAAAGTTAGCATATATAATATTTGTAAAAAAAAAGGAAATATCGCTTTAGAATGACATAAAAAATAAACTTCATTTTGTCTTAATTTCAACTGATTAAAAGTCATCAGTTATTTTCTTGACAAAGTGCTTATATTTTGCACTCTTTTCACCTGTAAACGCATCTCCTAAAACATACTGTTGTAAAAATCCTAAACACTGATTATATTTTCTAGGATAATCTAGATTGAAAACGTAATAACATGCCATTAAAATCATAATACTGTCTATTGTGCTTCACCCTGACAATACATTCTGCAGTTGTCAGCTGCTATAACTGACATTTCCAGTTGATTTTGTCCCTTTAGAAATAAAATTAGTCTAGGTCCCTCCTCATCATGGCTTTTAGTAAGCTTATCCACATCCTTTTCATCAACATCTTCATGTACGGAGATGAAAGTTGTTGACTTCTCTCCTTTGCCTTTGGAGTAACCAGTTTCTTTTTTCTAGGTGACGAATCAGGGAAGGAACTTTGTACTCTGCCTCCTGAAATAGTTGTTCAATTCATTTTATTTATAGCCTTTGAAAGTAACCATATTAAAAACTGTTAAATTATTATTAAAAAGTGATGCTTTACTACCTAATATACTTGAAACTAGACGCCCCTTTTCAGAAAAGCATTGTGAGTTGATATCTTGTCTTTTATAAATAAAATATAATTTAAATATATACTATGTATACATTGATGTTTACCATACACATACAAGTAAATGTGTAAAATTCATTAAAAATCAAGACATACCAAATGTATTGTGTTCAAAATCATTTTCTGGAAAAACCTTAAAATGTGAATACTAATGGACAAAACTAAGGCAACCAAAAGAAAGTAAACACATCTGAGAATTGCTGCACTGTTCCTTGATAATAATGGTTAACAGATCAGTGGTATACCTCACTTTTCCATTATAAAAGGGTTAACTGATTAACAATTATTCAGTTGTACTTTCATGTGGTAGTAGCACTACATATCTTTTTAATCACAGCATAATATTAATCAACAACAAATCAATTTACTTGTATAAAAAAAGTCTATAGTATCATATAGGTACATAAATGTTGATGTTTAGATATTATGTTATATTGAATTTTAATGGTAATAAACATGAAACCAGTTTATTTTCAACATAATATTCACAATACTGATGATATCCGTCACAAAAAAATGAATAATCATATCTTGTTATCTTAAACAAATCCAAAATATTAAAAAAAAAAAGAGTTGCTTGAACAATACAGGAAATTATGAAAACCAAGTTATATACCTTCAATTCTTTCTTAGGTATATCTTTGGTAAGACACCTCAGAATTTTTTCAAGATTACTTCCTATAACCTCCATATCCATTTGTACCTCTTCTGTCATTATAATTTTAAATTCCTCCCATATCTGGAACAAAAATAGTTTTTAAGGATATTTTGTCTTTTTAAATTAATCAATTATTTTTCATGTAAAGATCCTTTTAAAGTATAAGAAAGAGTTTCCAAATGTCTTCTCCAAATCAGTAATGGTATCAATTGCATAGCAAGTTTAAAATAGAAAATATGGTAAATGACATTAAAACATTTTAACTACTTTCAAATGTAATTCTTTATCTAAACATCAGCTCTAATTATAGTTACTCTTTTTTAATGATACAACCTTCTCTTCTTCTTATGGAAGTCCACCCTATTTGCAGGGTCACAGCATTTAAAATATTGTTATTTATATTTTTTTTTAAATGCATTTACTTTTAAAAACAATTTGCAACCATTTATCTAACAATTTGTAAAAATAAACTAGTTTTTCAAATTCTATCACGAAAAAAACACTATGCAGTATATAATACTTACATATTTTCCACACTCAAAGCATGGAAACTTTTCTAATATAGGGTTGACCCTTCCACCACTCACGTTTCTAATCCAGTCCCGTCTATTACTAATAGATTCTTTCAAAAGCAATCTGAGATGACTCTCATTGCTATTTAATTTTTCAAATTCCTTCTTCATTTCTAAGATGTGACTTTCATAATCTTCATTGGATAGTAGCTTAGATTAATCTGAATAGGCAGTTGATCTGAATTTTTTTTGGAGTCTTCTCTTTTTGACCTTCTGCTGTACTTGTGGTGATGTAGTCAGAACTTTTTCTTTTTCTTGAGAGTCTCTCTGCTCTCATCTTTTCACTCAATGATCTGGTAAAAGTTGACTGAAATTAGAAAATGTCAATGAAACCCATAGTAGGCAGTAAAAAATAATATTATCAAAAAGTGGGCACAGTGCAGACTTATACACACTAGTTAGCTTTTAAAAATTCCTTAAAAAATTATTCTGTTTGCTGAAAAATATAGCTTAAAAAGAGACCAGATCAAGAATTCTGGGTTTCTCTGCTGTATTTTAATTTATTCCTGGTAATATTGGAACAGTTTATAAAAAAGATTATTACATTCGTTGCAGTGAATTACCGTAATTTCCCAGTGACGTCATACAACAATTATAGAAAAATATTCAACTCGTGACCGAAAAACACTGACAATTAACTCATGCTCTACGCGCATTCATGAATTAATGTGTTGTTTGGTCACACGTCAAATATTTTTCTATATTTGAAATCTTCGATTAGTTATACTATAAATATTGGAACTATTAAGGCTAAGTAACAAAAGGTTTAATATTTATGAATTATATTATACAGTTTCAACTACTCTTACCCATGGAAGTTCTCCTTCTCTTTTGATATCAGGAAATGCTCTGTAAAGCTTCTGCCCAATTATTCTGTAAGCTTTTTGATTGTCTACATCATTGGGATAGAATGCAAGGTAGAAGTTAGCCGCTTCATCTACAACTTTATTCCATACTTTAGCAGATTCCTTATTTCGTAGGCACTGTTTTACGTAAAGAGAAAAATCAGGCAAAGGTAATTCAGTAAGAACTGGTACATCACATGGAATGGTGGAATTCTGGTCTGAAACAAAAAAAACAATATTTTTCTCTACATTTTATTATATATTATCCTTATAAACCTCTTTTTCTAAAATGATTCACTCTTTGAAACAATTACTTAGTATATTATCCTTGACCCAAATGAACAAAGTCTTATATAATTTTTTAAAAGTTAGGCAGCCACTAGCCAACAGAAAATATTGTTACAAATAAGCAACCATTATAAGAGGCAATAATAATGTAATAACACATCACATATTTAACATCAATATATATACAGAAGTTCTTTACAACATTTTGACAATATTGATTTAACAAGTATAATCTTGTTGAAACAATTTATATTGATATTTATTTCAAATAAATTCTTCAAGTTCATGCATACATACATACATATACATTTTGTTTACTTATTCTGTCCTAACTGTATGTTTATGTATATAATACATAACTATGTACATGTATATGCAAACTCTCTTCAACTAAACATTTACCTGATGGTTTGTTCTTTTGTACTTCTGCACTGTTGTCTGATGATTTGCTAGTGGGGGTGTCTACAATGAGCTGCTCCTCTGCTGAATCACATATCATAATATCTGTTTGGGTTTTGGGGCTCCAACTTCCTCCTTCAGCAAGAACAATAAAGATTTTCCCTTCAAAACAAGCAAAATTTCATCTTCATCCACAACAGTCCCATCCTCTTCTAGGACAACATCTGCAGGTTCTGTTGCAAGAACTAATTTTTCTTTTGCTATGAAAGGAATCAGAAAAATTCAAATATTATTTTTTTTTATTGCTATTCAAAAGTGTCCAAAATAGAATGGAATGTCAAATTATGATTATATGATTGTTAGATTGACATTTTAGTTCTGTTGAACTATTACTTTTGACAGTATTTTCTAATTGTTGTCTATCTAACTGACCTCTTGAAATCCTTAACCTCAACCAATTACGTAATTTTACGTTAAGTTGGCCTTATAAAAATGAGTTTTGGATTAAGTATCTGATGGCATCATCCATTTAGTAGTCCGTTCCTCAGTAGTCAATGACACAAATATAGTAAAAGATTACCATTTAAAGAAGATTTATAAATAATGTTTTTTTAATAAAACTTTACTAATGATCGAACCTCTCAGGCAAAATTGATCTTTGATAGCCTTTTTTGGCTGTCCTTTACAAACTTAATTTCTTATTAACATGGAATACTCCATTGGATTTGATTTTACGAAGGCTCTCATAACTATCTAACCCAAGTGTTCTGAACAAAGGTATTCAAAAAAGAATTTGGATTTAGCTTAAATTTCCTAAATGTTAACATATATTTACCTTTTTTCTTTAAAGTCTCTAAGCTGTCTGCTGCAACCATTCTCTCCAGCTGTCTGTTTACAGTCCATACCTTATAAATTGCCATTCTGTTCTAAAATCAAAATAAAATGTGCAATTTGTGTCTTCTCCATGATTTAGATAAATTCAGTAAAATGGCAATATCTATTAACAATATAAATGTTGCCAGAATGGTAATATCCACCAAGTGGCCATTTGTTTATAAGTTCATGGTAAGGAATAACTCTCTTTTCATTAGTTTGTGAAATTTTGTAGGAACCAAGAGCTTTTGTGAACTCTAATGTTACTAATACATCAACAATAAACATTTTTCTGTTATCAACTACAACAATTTTGTCAGCTGCTAAAGTATCACATGGACATGCAACTAATGTTCCATGTATATTTTTCTCTTCCCCATTAATGTTTAGTACAATTCCATTTTTTTGAATTTCACAAACTGTTTCCACAAAATCCTTCAGTAACTTTTCTACTCCAAACATTCTTAATTCTTTAGATTTAGCTATACACAGAATTTGGATTGCTGTTAGTTTAGATCTATATTGTGGTGGTATATTAGCTATTAATGTAAAATAAAACATTGCAATTTTGTGTTTTTTAACATGTGATCCTAAAGGGTTAACAATTTCAAAGTCATCATGGCTAAGAAGAATTTGAAGTGCAGTTGGATGTTGTTGAAACAAAGGATGTGTCTTTATAAAATCTCAATCAGAATAATCCAGCATTAAGCCACCCCTGCTATTTCTTATTGTATTAACATAATGCCATATTTCAGGAATATTTAGCAAAAGTTCAATGTTTTTTCTAAAAGGTATCATTCTTCCGTAATAAGGTACTACTTTAAGTCCATTTACAGTCCTTTTAGTTTTTGTCCCTAAAAGAACAGCCTCTGAATGCAAAAGATTGCATTGTTCCGAATAAAATTTGTTGCGTAAATATTGAGAAGACAATGTTTGAAAAATATGTTGCTCTTGTAACAAGTTCACTTCATTCAATACATTTTGGTCAATGTTTAATTCTGTAAATTTTAATGCTAGCTGCCTTTTCATATTTGAAACAATTTGATTTAAGAAAACTGTTGAGGATTCTGCAATTTCATTTAAGGCCTTCTGAGAAAGTTTGTGCTCTCCCTCTAATATCAACATGTAAGAAGCAACAGACAACAATCTTTTTCTACTTAAATCATCCTGATTTTCATTTTCATTGTCAACATCTACATATTCCTGTTCAATTTCAGGTTCAAAATCATAATCATTATCAAAGCGATGTCTTCTTGAAATATGAAGTTTATAAGCATTCCAGCTCTTTGTGCTATACATGCAATTTCCAATACAGCACTGTACAATAAAATTCGGATCATATCTGTGACGTCTTACAATATGCTGAGTAAGCCATTTTTGTGTGTTACACGTAAACTGACAAATGCAGCAAGAAAATCTAGGATCCATCTGGAATTAACAGGAGAAAAATTTACTTTAAAATATTGTGTGTATAAAACTATATGTGTCAGTGTGATACCAATTTTGAAATTCTTTTTATGTTAAATTCACATTGAAAAGTTAGAATCCAATTGATACAAATACATTGTAGATCAAATACTAAAATTTAAAAAAAAATCTTTTTAAATTTTACTTTGGGTTTTAAGTTTACCATAAAGAAGCATATCTGTTCCAAATTTCATGAAACGCTTATTAACATTTCATGTACACACCCCAAAAAATATTGCTCTAATACAGTTTACGACTGGCAGTAAATAAATTTTGCTGTTACATGTATATAGATTAAGTCTGGCAGTAAAACCCTTGCTAAAGTGGGGCTAACATTTGGCTGTGCTGAATGTATAAATTTGCACGCTCTCTGCACATTAAAGAACCCTTGGGACAACTCTTTGAGGAGTCCATACATGTATGTGTCCTGTTACAATGCTATTCTGTTTCCCTTTAAATTTACCCTCATTTTCAAGTGCATTCCAAACTTCCTGTCCTTCATCTGGGTCAACACTTATTACAGGACCTACATGAACCGTATTGTGAACTTGTTGTTCTCCTTAACATGCATGAAATATTTGCCACTGTACGTAAAGCAAGCAATCAATCAATACACATGATACATAGTGAAAATGACTGACATTAACTAACAATAAATAATTTTGTAACTACATGTAGGCAGTTTATGTGCATGATGTGAAATACTTATGAATATCTTTTTCTTGGTTGTAAGTTTAATCTTATAAAAAAACTATAAAATATATGCAAAAAAAAAGTAGTTGAGTTTCTGGTTTCCGTACATACAGTATTGAATACTCCTAATTATGTTTTTATCTAAATTTTGGGATTTTATCAGTAAAAAAACAGTATTTTATCAAACTTGAGCTGAAACAGGGTTATTTTATGTTCAGTAGTTGTCGTTTGTTGATGTGGTTCATAAGTGTTTCTCGTTTCTCGTTTTTTATATAGATTAGACCGTTGTTTTTTCCGTTTGAATGGTTTTACACTAGTATTTTTTGGGGCCCTTTATAGCTTGCTGTTTGGTGTGAGCCAATGCTCCGTGTTAAAGGCCGTACCTTGACCTATAATGGTTTACTTTTATAAATTGTAACTTGGATGGAGAGTTGTCTCATTGGCACTCATACCACATCTTCCTATATCTATTAACTTCAAAGGGAGAGTGATGTAGTAGTCTTAGGGACATTTTTCCCATTAAAGAAGGAGCCCGTTAATAAGGCATTGTATTTACCGGACAATACAAAATATGTAGCAAAGATGACTTTCTTGGAAAAACAGCATAATAAACTAGAAACACATAATATCGGGACAACCTATGATTAATGTCCGATTATTGCTTATGATGTTTCTTTTAAAAGTAGTTAGCAATACATTTGATCTTAATTGATGTTGAATGTAACTACTTCATATGCTTATCTTGTAAAATATGTTGGAGAAGAGTACCATTCTCATAAAAATATTACTTGAATGATCGTGCAACTAAACTTTTGACTGGAAAGTATTCGACGAAATCACTGTCAAAAACTGGCACCCATCTTGGTACAATTCGATCCGTGAAACTGAGATGACAGTAAACCATTTCATGCGCTAGAAAAATTCTACACTGTCATACTGGTAGCGGTTTTCATGGAACTATTGGCATACAACCTACCACATGCATGTAACTGTTTATATCATGTGTCCACCCCCAAAAACGTGTGCGATTCCCTTAAACGTGTCAGTATGACGTCACTGAACTGCAAAACATGTCCATTTGCTAAAGGGCACCAAAACGTGTTCTGTTTATGAACGCCCAATCGTGTCTATTTTTTAATAACTCCCAAACGTGTCGAACTTTCCAAACTTGTCAATATGAAGCCAAAAGGTTTCCTTTTTAAAAGCCCAGAAACCACTTCTGCAGGAAGCCGGTCGTGCAATAAACATAGTTAGGCATCACCAGAGTATATTAGTACAAAAGAATTCACTAAAGTAAATGATGAATTTAACTGTACAAAATCAGCGTATTGCCAGTTTTATGTTTGCTCTAAATATACATGAAATATTTGCCACTGGACATTTAGAAATCAACAGTCAAAAGTTAATTATGTGTTGCAAATCAAGCTTGCAATATTTATTATGCTTAATATAAAAAACCCGGCGTTGAACGAACTAATGATAATAAATGATCACTTAATAAATAGTGAAGCACTGGGAAAATTTGTAAAAAGTGTGTTAGATTTCTTAGTTGTGAAGTACCTCCATCTAAAATTTAAAACAGTAATAATGATATTGGTCCGTGTAACACTTATCAATTCAAAATTTTAAAAAGTTTTCAAATTTTAGATTTTTGGAATTTTCACCAAATATTTAAAATTTTAAAATTCTAAATATCGTTTATAAATTTGATAGTTGAGATATTTGATCAAACTTTAAAAGCCCTTCACTTAACATGCAGTTATGATTATTTCGCTATTTGAAAGTTTGATTTTTTTAATTTTTGATTAAGATATCAAAAATAGAATACGGGCGAAAAGAGGGCTACCTGTAAAGTGCAAAACGGAATAAAAGCGGAACGAAACGAAACAAAATGAAATGAACAATTACGGTTACTTAACAGTTACTGTATAAAATAAAACCAGCGGTAGACAGTTGTAAGTTGTGAAAAATTGGATAACAAAATCAATATTTCTCAAAAGCGGAGAATTCATTTTAAAACAAGAAACACGTCTCTGATAATGATCATTCTTAGTTAGGAATAAAAAGCACGAAATATATCAAATCATTTTTAATTGCAAAAAAAAATAGTTTAAAGAAGAAGTAGGGTTTTTTTAAACAAATTTGGACACCACATGAAATAACAGTATCCTGAAATTTTTGGTAAGAAATATATATTGAAAAGTAATAGATTTACACCATAATATGAAAGCTTCATTTATATGTTTTCTTTGCATTTCATTTAGCTCATTTCATTCACTTGTTTTTTTGTTTGTTTTTTCTCCCTTTTTTCTTAAACTATATAAGCAATCTTATTTTGTATTTACTATTCTTAATATATTCCAATTGACAGAGCATGCTCCAAGTATTCATTATATTGTATGTCAATATTCCTTTGTAGACAGATTAAAATAAGCAATGTTGCTTGTTTCTGGATCCCATTGTTTATACTGTAATATATTATATAGCATGATTTGACTTATCGAATAAAATAATGTTTAAACCAAAACTATTTAAACCTGGTTCAAACAAAAAGTGTATTCTCTCAAATTTGATTTCATTTTTTTTTTGCTTTACGACTTCTTACTACATGTATCTGCAATCAGGTCGGCAGATGAAATCATTGAATGTACATTTTGAACGATCATCTTTAACCTTTTTCAACTATTTCGGTTGTTATAAATTGTTGGCCTTCAAATATTCGGCTTTTGAGCGTTCCTGATGAAGGTAGATCCAGAAAAGCGCTTCGGACGCATGCGATTTGTTAACGTTTTGTTTTCGTTTTTTATCGATTGCATGACGATCATATATTGCTTTGTATCATTGATTTCAGTTCTAAGTATTGGTACGGTCGCAATGAACGTTCTGCTAGCCTCGAAGGTGGGAGGTTATTGATATCTTTTTTACACTGCTACCCGCTATACACGCTGAATTTAAGAGTAAGATCAAATATGAGTAGCTTAGAGCCAGAATACTGTTAGAAAGTATCTAAATAAACTCAATATAGATACCCGGATGGAAATTTTGTATTTGCGCCAGACGCGCTTTTCGTCTACAAAAGACTCGTCAGTGACGCTCGAATCAAATAAAGTTAAAAAGGCCTAATAAAGTAAACGTTATTATCCAACTCATCGTTCTGGTTTTGTAAAAGCTGAATACATTAATACCATATAAACGTATACCATAAACATTATTTAAAGCCTGCATATTTATGTAATAGTTGCCGCGGTACATTAAGCCCCCATCTATTCATTTGTAGGTGTCGGCATTTTGAAATCGTAATTTTAAATAATTTTAAAAAGTTCAACGATAAACATATGATCAAGTTGAAGTGACCAATCGAGATGGTAATCTATTTGGGAATCGGAAATATAAATATTGTCACTAAGGTGACACTAAAATCAGGTTGTAATTTATACGTAAATTTAGTTAAGAGAAGGACCATGAACACAGGGCAAAATCATTATAATAGATATACATAGGAATAAAGTAACACTTGCACCGCAATTATATGCAAATTAAGAACGTTTTTTTGTAACAGAATAATATAAATTTAACATGAAAATAGATATGGTTAAAGGAAATTGTATTTGAATGGCCAAGAGTTTATGTGTGTTTATTTTACAAGACAGTGGATCAATATTACATTTTTCATTTAGACACCAATAAAAGCTTCATGTCCTGAGACTGTTGTATCTGCCAGTATGCCTCAATTTGCAAATACTACTGGGAATATCACACATGTGCTAGATCATACAAGACAAACTCCAAAAAGGCCAACAGAATCAGAGAACTACCTACCAATCACACAAGTTTTAAAGCAGAAGAAAACGGATAGTGAAAGGTAAATTACACTTGAAATAAATATTATTAAGAAACTATCACCAAAAAAACTTTTTATGTTGAAATTTAATAATTTCTGAAATAACTAAGTCTTTTCAAAGCATGTATGGTCAGCGTCTTTGTTATGATGAAGGATATTAAGCTTGTTATTTTACAGCAACGCTACTCAAAATCTGAAATGATACAATAAAAGTATTTAGGAATAACAGAACACTACACCTATATCTTTTTTTAATTTAGCAATATTATTCTATTACCACCTTTTTTTTTAAATAAATGAAATACTAGTACTTCATTCTTTAAAATGAAACAACTGAACAATAGTGTGGCCAAAAGGTACTCAATAGAAAATGAAAGGATATGGAGGAAATGTACATGGGACAAAATCGCACACAATACATAGAAAACAAAGAAAATTGTCAATGAACAGGGCTTTTATTCCTGTTCGAAACCTTTAAGTAGTATGTACCTAACCAACTGTTTTAACATGTTTAAATATAATAGTAACGATTATTTGAAAAGTCTTTCGATTTTCAGTTTAATCTTGCAAAGACAACTTGTCGAAATAGAGGGACAACGTTTAATTATTGAGAGGGAAAGGTTAGGAGTAGAAAAAAGACGACTTTTAATTGAGGAAGAGAGACTTGAATCAGTAAAAAGACAAGAAACAGATAATGACGCAGAACAGGAGCCATCATCATCGTTTGAGGTTTTCCGCGGGGCATTCATGTCTCTTGATTCACGAAACTAACATTATTTTTGCCTGTTTGTCTGTCTAAAATTAAAAATAATATTATTTGTGAAATAAGATATTAGAGTCAATTTATTAAGCGTTACCTTAAAATCTCTCAGCTATTAGCCTGTTTCTCAAATGACGCCCATCAATGTCTTGGATGTCATCGTCCTCATTTTCCTGTTCTTCAGGATCCAGAAGGTCTACTGGTAATCCCAGATCTTCACATATATTGTCCAGAATACCGGTTGACACAATTACATCTATTGCTGTTTCAAGATTCACTGTTAATTGTCCACCTACAGGAAAATCAGAACTATATGATTTGTTAATTATCACTTACATGTAAGGTAGATCGTCGGTATATATTTTCTCAGATGTAATAGGGATCATTCGTAATAATATCTTCCTGTAGACGTCGCTGGTGTTCCATAAGTGGTTGTCGGAAACGTGTTAATCACTTGGACGCTTGAATCGCATTACGTTGCACATGTTTACATTAGTAACCACAATCGACATTCGCTAATTTCACCAAACTAAGCTTCAAAATTGTTGTGTCCCCGGCTGCAATTATTCTGAAGGGGGACCACAGATTCCCAAAAGACCATGAAATTCTTTTGAAATGGAAAGAAGGCATCAAGAGAGTTGATCCACCCATCAAAAATATCTAGGGAAACCCGGCGGAAAATATTCGACCAAGTTTGCCATAACCAGCTGATAATAATAATAATAATAATAATAAATTCTTTATTTAAAGAGGGTAACTCAATTAGAAGTAGTCTAATTTTCATTGAGGCCCTCAAACAAAATACATGTATACAGTTAACATTCATACATTCGATTCATACATTAAAATACAATATATATTACTAGTATATACACAATTCAATCATTCAAACATACAAATGGCAATAAATGGCAATAATTGGTAAAGTTTTGATTAAATTTTCTTATTCCTACAATAAAAGAAAGAAAACAAATTATTCGATTTGCATAGAATTTTCAAGAAAATGATTATAACAATGTTTCTTAAATAACCATGTCATGCCAGGAGATTATATAACAACAGGATTAGGTTATTATGTATTTATATTTTTCTTATATTTAGTACAGTATTTAACCTCTTTGTTTTATCTTTTCTCCATTAAACAGCCCAATAATTTGACAGGTTATTATTTATTAAAATAGGGGGATGACACAGGGATGTATTTTATTCTTCAAATATACCCTCACACTTTGTAAGTTTTTTCCTAGTCTTCACATTTTTTCACCCTTTTACCTTTGTTTGCATTGTAAATAAGAAATAATTATGTTGTGCACTTAATTATAGCAAGTGAAATATATTTCCCTGACAAAACAATGCATGAAAGGAAGAGAACTACATGTATTGGGAAATATGACAATCCCTATATTGCATTCTAAAAAAAAAACCATGGTACACATGGGCATAATTTTTCTATTTGTTTGTCGCAATAAAGTCTGAATTTTCTAAGGACTTTACATTAAACTTATGGCAAAAGCTGTCAGAACAATTTGTTTAATTCTTCAAAGTTGGAAATCAAGAGTATTTTAATGAGAAAAAAACATCACACACATCCCCGCATTAAACGCTTGTCCTTTATGAATGAAAAGAAAAATTTCTGAACCTGCAGTTTATTAAATAACATGATGCTTTGTGCTTTCCTGTTTTAATATTTCAGAAGCCATCATGGATAACAGACTTTTTACCCAACCATGAAGTGATGGATGGGATACATCTTTATGTTTGAAATGCATTCATGGTTAAAATGCAAGTGCGAGGATCAATACTTCTGTCAGAACCAGATGTAAAAAAAAAATTGACAAAGGTGACAACAAATGGCAAATAGTGGAATTATGGAACAGGATTTATTAACTAGCCAAGACAGTTCCTTATATTAACACACAAACTTTTCTGAAAGGGAAATTCCAACTAGATCAGAAGAAAGTAGTTTGTGATAGAAAAGTGTCGTCCAACCGAATTCACATTAAACGAGTCCTTGTATTGTCTAAAAGTTACACAAGGGTAAAACTTAATGCCCCTCCTCCGCTGTAGCAGGGGAATAAAAAATCTGAAACATGTAATTCCACGTGGAAACTTCTAATTCAACTTGGTTCCAGAATTATCTGTGTTTGCTGTGTTCTTTATAATTTCATAAAAATACATTGTAAATAAATATGCATAAAAGATGAAATGGATTTACATGCAATTGATTTTATTATTTGTTCTAATGTGGTGCTGTTTCACCACTGCTTTCCCAGTTAACACAAAAAAAAAAGAAAAATGTTGAAAAAATATTGTAGAAAAATATCAAAATCATGCAAAAATGTATGGCGTTAAAAATATTTTCAAAACATTTTCATGATACTTTTAAAACATCATTAAAATGTTACTGAATTTTGACGACAATGTTTGTAAAATGTCTTATAAATGATTTGGATGTGTTTGTTAATCAAATATCACTGAAACATTTTGAAAAACATATAAAAATTCATTTCTGCAGGATAAAATGTTTTGAAAAAGTTCAAAAAATATTTTTTAACAAAATGTTTTAATAATCTTCATATTCTCAAAAAATCATTAAAAAAATCATTTAAATGTTATACGAAATATCATTATAAAAATGTTTTCTAACATAATCTTTCAAGTCTTTTTATAAAATATTCAGAAACATATAAACAATGTTTAATATCAGAGACAGATTTAGGAGTGGAATGCCTGGGTCCCCCCTTTATGGCCCTTATGGAGCTACATTTATGGATAATCCAGATTTTTTTTATTACTCTCAAAACTTTGTCTAGTTTGGGGCCTGATGACCCCTTTTTATGCCCCTGCAACTAAAAGTTGAGGGGCATATTATTTTACCCCTGTCTGTCTGTCCGTCCGTCCCATTATGGGTACATACATGTAGTTATTCAGCACAACTCCTCCTACAGTTAGAATGCTAGGAAGTTTTCACTTTGCTGTCTGTTTGTACATATATTTAAGGTACGCATGTGGTCAGGGTTTTGATTTTTATGAATATTTGCTCTTTTGGGAGATAGTTGAACTTTGTCATTTTTGGGGTATAAGCGGTTAAATGTTATAATTATTTTAAAATAACACTTTGCATCTTTCACTTTATCTAGATTCAAAATCCTGGATCCACATTTGAGAAAACAACTGCCGTCATACTGATCTTTATCCCACAACTCTTTTTACATTTGTCTGCATGCTGTTGACGCCGGCTTAATCTACATATATTTTGGCTATTTTTGTCGGGTTGATGTCTCATTGACAAACCCCAATATTTCCTGTCTTAGATATCAATTTTATTGAATAGTCCATTTTTTTGTACTTTGCACTGAACACATATGAAAAAGAAGATGTGGTATGATTGCCAATGAGACAACTCTCCACAAGAGACCAAATGACACAGAAATAATTACAACTATAGGTCACCGTACAGCCTTCAACAATGAGCAAAGCCCATACCGCATAATTTGTTTCACTTACATAGAGGTATTAATTTTTTTCAGATTATAAATATCCTCATGCATTTCATTTGGTCCAGCATTGAACAAATTTTTTCTTAGAAGTGTTTTTTTATCTTTTGTTTGATCATGTGTAGCATCTGTCATTTTCTGTCTGAACAGCTTTTCGATGGTTTTCTTTGATGTCTTGGTCAACAATACACAAGATAACAACAATAAGAAATGCAAAAATTTTATTTAATTTTGTCATTTCACTGTTCTTTTTCAATTTTTCTTTTGTTCCATTCTTTTTATTTCTCTTGACTTCTGCTGGCTTCTGTAAAGAAAATGTTAACAAATTGGTCCTGTTGTTTAGTGAGTAAACTAGTGGAGATAATTTAAATTTCATCAAATTACACAAGAAAATTTTATTTTAATCCAGCCTGGTTTCATAAAAAATTATATTGAAAAGCGACATCTAATCAGTGTGGCTGGATTCGGACGGAATATTTATAGCTATTAGATATACACGTACATCTGTGGAGTTTCAGGTGTATTATTATCATACAAGTCTGTAACGGTAGAGTTCACCAGTACTAAAATAAAACTGTACAGTACCATTTTCCCAACTGAGATTAGGACCTGTAACCTTTACTTGGTCTTACAAAAAATCAACTCTCTTAATGGTAATTGTATATTTTAACACAAATACATTTTTGTGATATAGATTGAGGCTATAAAAGGATAAATACCTTCACACAATCTGCTCCTCCAGAATGTTTTGAATCTATAAGCTTATAAATTTTGGCTCTTCTAATTGATTCTACAAAAGATAAAAAAAAAGTCAAAATATTAAATAAAATACAGTCAAGAAAAAATCACATTGGACTAGTCAGCTACAAAGGTCACAACATTAAAAAAATGAAAGAAAATTCAAACAAGAAAACTAATGGCTTGATTTTAAATTATAAAATAAGACAATAAAAAAACAAATATATATGTATATATATCAGAAATTAACCAACTATAACTACTAAATTAAAGGCTCCTGACTAGGATTGACACATTAACAATTATCTATACTTACAAAAAATGTATCTGGCCTGGCCTGAATGGCTAGCGATTAATCACAGGCACTTGTCTCAGAAATTTTTTTCCTATAACACGTGTTATATTAAGGAATATAGGAATTTTTTTCTGAGACAAGTTTAATGGTATAACTAATGAAATTTTGAAAAAATCTTGTATGCTGAATGTTGGGCATGATATGTATATAAAATTATGAAACACTACTTTTTTCTTAAAAATTAATAAAATTTTCTCTCTAGCAAGAAGTTCTTATTGGAGAGAAAATTTATTTAACCCATATTCAAAGGAAGATGTTTTCATAGCCCTTCAAACAACAGAGGTATAACACTTTTTACTAGTTTAGGAAAATTTTTTTCTAGAGTATAATAGTTTAGAAAACTATTTAGAATCTTATAAGATTATCTGCCAAGAACAGAAAGGATTCAAAAAGGACGCAGAACTATAGGGACCACATTTCTAAGTTTGAAAAATATTTAGTTGGGTTAGTTTTCATAATTATGTTCTAATCAATTTTGCAGAATTTGAAATTATTCCATATTTAAATAATTCCTTGTTTGAACTTGAATTGCAAATAAAACTTCATTATAGATGTACATATCTTTTAAAAT